CCCCAAGAGGCCCCAAGAGGCCCCAAGAGGCTGAGAAGCACCGCAGGAACTCGCATGCTTTCGAACACTACTGCTCGAGACCGCAGCTGGAGAGCGGCAGACCGCAGGCTGAGAAGCACCGCGGGCAGGGGGACTTGCAAAACTCAGATGTCCTGATCGTCTTGGAGGAAGTCACGCCAGTCCGGCGGCTGCCAAGAATCGATGATGCGCCTGGAGCCACCGCCCGTGCTGCCGCCGATGTCCAGGTAGTCGCCATCGGCCCTGAACAGACGGCCGTGCCCCAACGCCAGAATCGCTTGGTTGCGGATTTGAAGCAGCTCTCCGCTCTCAAACATCTGCAACACGTCCAGCTGCCTGCGCGTGAAGTTCGGCTTTGGCTGGCCAGCCTGGGCAGACAGATGGCGGGAAAGCCGCTCCCCCTCGTTGTAGCGCGCGATGGCCTCGGCCTTCTGGTGGTGCAGCCGGCGCCGCTGTTGCCGCAGAGCTTCCTCGGGAACTGCTGCATCACGGCCCTCACTGTGATCAGCTTGCAACGCTTGCGTTAGCCAATCAACGTCGAAGCGCCCTGAGAAGGCCAGCACCTCCCAGATCTGTTTGGTACCGGCCACACGTTGCAAATGGCGATGCCACCGCTTACGCTTCTGGTCTTTCACAAACTTGGCGACGCTACCCAGACCTGCACCCTTGGCCTGGCCACCTTTTCCCGCAGGCTGAGAAGCACCGTGAGAACCTTTCTTACCGCCTGGCCCTTTGTTACCCTGCGGAACCGCTGGCCCCCTTGTGGCGCAGACTTTTCGCATCCCGTTCCTGCTGCTGCCGCGACTGCTCGTGGTCGCGAGCTACTCTGACCAATTCCTGCCTCTCGCTTTTCCCTTTTCGACATCCCGTTCCTGAAGCGCACGCTGCTGCCGCGACTGCTCGTACTGGTCGCGAGCTACTCTGACCAATTCCTGGCGCTCAGGCTCCGTGAGAACGTAGCGCATGTCGTCGATGTTCTTGCTCCGCAGAAAGTCATGTCGAAGCTTAAGGACAGAGAGAATGGCTCGGCCAGTCTCCTCCTGAGACGCAAAGGCCGTGTCATATTCCGAGCCAGGCTGAGGAGCGCCAGCTGGATCAGTGTCCGCTGGCTCCGTGGACTTCCTCTTTTTGAAAAGCAAGAGACTGAGATGATGGAGGACTTTCGGATCGTACTCCTCGTCGTACCTTTCGTCCCAAAGCTGCCTCAGCTCCCTGTGCAAGTCGTTCGCGCGATTCTGAACGACATCCTCGACGTAGTCGGGATCACCCGGTGAAGTCGGTGAAAGCGGAGGAGTAGAACTCGGCGACCGATCCCAATGCACAGAAGACTCGGCGTCCGCCTGTACGCTGACGTCGGCGTCGGAGACGTTTTCGACGACAATCTTCCGCCTCTTGCTCTCCCCAGGCTGAATAGCACCAGGGAGAGTGAGCACAACCGCCACCGCATCGTGTGCGTCGTTGCGCATGCCACGATCCGTAAAAGACGCGCCAACGGCAATGGAGCAGAAACGGGCGACTGCTCCGCAGACCGCGACGTGGTCGCCTTTGAGGTCGGCCGGAGTGGCATGGACCTCCCAGAGCTTCTCGTCGTTCTGCTGGCGCTGGTAAGCCTCCCGCGCCTCCTGGAAAGTCAGGTTGTCGTCGCCGACTACAAGCAGAACGACTGGCACGTGCGGCTCCGAAGCATTGAGAATCTGAGCCATGCCGTCCAGGTGCAAGCGGAGATGGCGAACTGTCCGCTTTCGAGTCTGATGGTCGGCGGTTTCTTGCCGCACACGATGTGCATGTTGGCGATCACCACGTGGAACTTGTCATGGCCTGGTTTGTTCACCTCAAAATGTGAAATAACAGCATCAATCTCTCGGCCGCTAGGAGGCCTGTAAACTTTGCTGTCTTCGCACAGAGTCAGTTCCGCAGGCTGAGAAGCACCGCGGAACCCCCAGAGAGTCAAGTAGTTGTCGACCTCCGAGAAGCGAATGCCATCACCGAAAGGCTTACTGAGGATCTCTGTCACGTTGATCCCTGCTCGGCGAAAGCCTTCACGGAACGCACCGACCTCGCAGCCACAGACCATATCAGCATCAGCGGTCTCCACTATCGTGGCGCACACCCTTCCGAAGTTAGCGCAGTGAGTGGCCGCCTGCTTACCAGTCATCATGCCCTGCTCGAACCCGAAATTGAACGAGGCGACCGTGAAAGACGCAGGCTGCACAGCGCCAGAACCAGGCGTCTGTCCACCTTCCTCCGCAGGCTGAGAAGCACCGCGAGGCGGCGCAGGCTGAGAAGCACCGCGAGGCGGCGACACTTCGGACGAGCCTCGCGGAGCAGAGGCTGCGGATGAACGTTGGACATGGGGGTACGGCCAGGGGAACGCCATTGCAATCGAAACTCAGTGGACTGCAGTGAATGAATGCAGTGGCACGATTGAATGCAGTGGACTGCAGTGTCACTAGCAAGTCCTGAACCAAACACGGCTGCGGCGGAAGGATTATGAAGCGTCTGGCTATTCAAAATGTGGCCCGGGAATGGAGTTCTGGGAACTCGAAGACCAGGAAGTGGACTAGAGTTGGCTCCGGGCATCCAAAATGTGGCCCAGGAATGGAGTTCTGGGAACTCGAAGAGCACGAAGTGTGTGACTGTTGCATCCGGCCCTCCAGAATGTGGCCCGGGAATGGAGTTCTGGGAACTCGAAGAGCACGATGTGTGTGACTGTTGCATCCGGCCCTCCAGAATGTGGCCCGGGAATGGCGTTCTGGGAACTCGAAGAGCACGAAGTGTCTGACTGTTGCATCCGGTTATTCTAAATGTGGCCCGGGAATGGCGTTCTGGGATCTCGAAGAGCACGAAGTGTGTGACTGTTGCATCCGGGTATTGAGAATGTGGCCTGGGAATGGAGTTCTGGGAAGTCGAAGAGCACGAAGTGTGTGACTGTTGGTGAAAAACGAGCCCGGCACCTGCCGCCCGGCAACTCCCAACACCTGCCCGGACCCCCCTGTGGAGTGATCTGCTGCTCTCTTTTGATCCCACTAGAAACCTATCAGTCTTCGCTGTTAGGTAAATACCCTCAAAATACCCCAAAATGGCAAACAAATGCTCAAATTATCCCGGCAAAGCAACCTAACAGCGATGTGTAGGAGCATATCTGGAAGCATTCCCCTTAAGATTCGGATGGGAATCCAGTTGTAGAATTCTGCTGTTCTCGCAGTCGTAGTCGCATTCGCGATGACAGTCGCAGTGCAACGGCAGTCAGTCAGTCACAGCCTCAGCCTCAGCCTGCCTCCTCAGCATCAGCCTGCCTCAGCCTCAGCCTCAGCCTGCCTCAGCCTCAGCCTCAGCCTGCTTCAGCCTCAGCATCAGTCTGCCTTCAGCCTCGGCCTCAGCCTCAGCCTGCCTCAGCCTCAGCCTGCATCAGCCTCAGCCTCAGCCTCAGCCTGCCTCAGCCTCGTCAGCCTCAGCCTGAGCCTGCCTCAGCCTCAGGCTCAGCCTGCTTCAGCCTCAGCCTCAGTCTGCCTTCAGCCTCGGCCTCAGCCTCCGCCTGCCTCAGCCTCAGCCTGCATGAGCCCTCAGCCTCAGCCTCAGCCTGCCTCAGCCTCAGCCTGCCTCAGCCTCAGCCTCAGCCTGCCTCTGCCTCAGCCTCAGCCTGCCTGCTTCAGCCTCAGCCTCAGTCTGCCTTCAGCCTCGGCCTCAGCCTCAGCCTGCCTGCCTCGGCCTCAGCCTGCATCAGCCTCAGCCTCAGCCTCAGCCTCAGCCTGCCTCAGCCTCAGCCTGCCTCAGCCTCAGCCTCAGCCTGCTTCAGCCTCAGCATCAGTCTGCCTTCAGCCTCGGCCTCAGCCTCAGCCTGCCTCAGCCTCAGCCTGCATCAGCCTCAGCCTCAGCCTCAGCCTGCCTCAGCCTCAGCCTTAGCCTCAGCCTGCCTCTGCCTCAGCCTGCTTCAGCTTCAGCCTCAGTCTGCCGTCGGCCTCGGCCTCAGCCTCAGCCTGCCTCAGCTCAGCCTGGCATTCGGATTCGCAGTGGCAGTCGCAGTGGCAACATCAGCGGCAGTCGCAGTGGCACTGCCAGTAGTTGCAATAGCAATAGCTACACTAGCAGCAGCAACAGTGGCCCGGGAGTGGAGTTCTGGGAAGTGGAAGAGCACGAAGTGGCTTACAGTTGGCTCCGGGCATTCAAAATGTGGCCCAGGAATGGTGTTCTGGGAAGTCCAAGAGCACGAAGTGGCCTACAGTTGGCTCCGGGTATCCAAAATGTGGCCCGGGAATGGGGTTCTGGGAAGTCGAAGAGCACGAAGTGGCCTACAGTTGGCTCCGGGCATCCAGAATGTGGCCCGGGAATGGAGTTCTGGGAGGTCGAGGAGCACGAAGTGTGTGACTGTTGGCGAAAAGCGAGCCCGGCTCTGTTCCCGGTTCTGTTCCCGGTTCTCCTCCCCGGCACCCGCCCAGACCCCCCTGAGGAGTCATGATGCTCTCTTTTGACACCACTAGAAACCTATCAGCAAACGCTGTTAGGTAAAAATAGTCCCCAGCCTATTTTCTGACTAGTTTTGAATATTCCTCCTGTAGGGGAACGGGCCCGACATAACCCTGGACGCCCATGCAGGAAGCCCCCCAGGCTTTGGGAAGATCGCGTTCCGCGCCTTATTCCGGGTAATTGTTTTTTCCTTCCGGGAGGGCCGTTTTAGCAGCCACGGTTTTAGCAGCCCTCGCACAGCTTCCGAATTAAGGGGGATTAGGCCCGATTCGGCCCCGCGAAGACCTCCGGCCCCTGAACGGGACCGCCTGGATTCCTGGCCCCGCGGAAGGCCCCCTGGACGCCCGTGCGGGAAGCCCCCCGGGCTCTGGGGAGATCCTGGAAGCCCCTGCTGGGCCCAGACCCTCCGACACCGTCGGCTCCGACCCCAGCTGGGAGGCCCTGACTTCATCCTGCCGCTGCCCAGCAGGAGCCGCCGCCCTCTTCCCCCCCGCCCCGGCGGGGGACGCAGCGCCAACCTCCCGTACCAGGAGCAGCCTCCCGCTCCTTGCCCGCGTTGCCGGGGTAGACCAGGTCGCTGCCCAGGACGACGTCCCAGGGACCTTCCGGGCGGACCCGCGCCGACGCGGCCCGCCCCTCGGAGCCCCGGTCCTCCCCCCTTCCCCCCCCCCCCCCCCAAGCCCTCCCCCCTCTGCCCCCCCCGCCCCCCGCTCCCCCCCCCCCCCAGCACACCACACACACACACACACACCACTTACACACTTACACACACACTTACACACTTACGCACATTTAGAAACACACGCAAACACACACACATACACACACAACACACACACACACACTTACCCGCAGACCTACACACACTTGCACACACTTACACACAACAGACACACACAAACACACACACACACACTTACACCTACACACTTACACCTACACACTTACACACACTTACACACATACACACACTTATACACAACCGCATATTTACACACTGATGCACTTACACACTGGCACACACACACGTACACACAGCTACACACACTTACAGACGTACACACGCATTCACAAACACACACACACACACACACTTACACAAAGACACACGTACAACCACCTGCACACACACACACACCGTCGCACTTATCCACACATACCTTCACACACACAACAAACACACACACACACACACACACACACACACACACACACACACACACACACACACACACTTCTTGGCCTCAGCGCCCACAGGGACTCGGCGCGGTCGGCGCTCCGGCGGCCTTCCTTAGGAGGCAACTCCTAGGAGGTCTTGGTCACAGCGATTGGCTGACAACTCCTGGGAGGTCTCCTTAGGAGGCCCCTCCTGGGAGGCAACTCCTGGGAGGCCTTCCTTAGGAGGCAACTCCTGGGAGGTCTTTAGTCCGAATCGGGCCCGGTTGGTCAAAGCCAGATTAAGAAACCAAATTCAGAGGGATCCCCTGACTCCGGATCCGCCCTACTTTGGCTTTTTTTCCAACTTAAAATTGCGTCGGAAATCCACCTACAAGGAGCCGAAAAAGTAGGGCGGAAATGTCTGCACCCAACATAAAATGGGGCGAAAATCCACAGAAGTAGGGCGGAAACAACAACAGAAAAGTAGGGCGGAAATTGGCATCAGCGGGGCTTGAAAAGTAAGGCGGAAATTCCAAGCCCTACTTACGAATTTCCCCAAAGTAGGGCGGATCCGGAGTCAGGGTCCAGCCAGACAGAGCGGGATCAAGCCCGCCTGAGAGGCCTTGAACCAGCTCGGAGCCCAGTTTGCGCGACCCTGGGAGATGCCCGCGCCGATCCGATCCCGAAGGGGACCTCCCAGGAGCTGCACCCCAAACGTTATGTTCCAGCCTGCTTTAGCCTTGATCGCCAGAAAGAATCTCGAGCGCCAGAAACAAGTACCCCACAAAAACTCTAGGGTTTTCGCGTGTCGGGCCCGGGG